AAGAGTAATAATAAATGGAAAAATAAAGTGTCCACACAGGGATGGGAATTGTTCAATTTTGTTCAAATCACGTATCATCCACCATTCACGTATATTTTCAAAAAGTTGTTTTTCCACGCAGAAATAATGTAATATATAAATTTTACTCACAATATATCATAAGTATTTAAAATATGACATTTGAAATACTATCCCGCATGTGTTTCTTTTCAACGAAAAATCAAAATTTATTTCAAGGAGAAACAACGACCATTTCTAACCTTTTGGATGAGGTATGAAAGGATGAATTGTGAAGAGTAATGATAAACGGAAAAATAAAAGTGTCCAGGGATGGGAATTTCTCAAGGTTCCAAAAGGTTAGAAATGGTCGTTGTTTCTCCTTGAAATAAATTTTGATTTTTCGTTGAAAAGAAACACATGCGTGATGTATTTCAAATGTCGTTTTACAATCACATGCCGCATTATATTATATTGTATTTAAAATATGTAACTAATAAGGTGTATGTAACGTTTCCTATTTAAAAATAAGAGATACTTACAATAACTTGTCTTCCCTCATTTTACCCGATTACAACAAAGCTAATTAAAGTATATTATAACAACATATTTGTTATGTAATTAAAGTAAGCAAGAAGGTTGAATCCATAACCAATTTAACTTTACATATTATTTATTATTAATAGCAATTATACAAAACAAATCTTGGTATATATGTCTACATGAAAACAACAAAAACAAGAATTATTATATGATTTTTTTTTATTTTATTGTTACAAAAGCACGAAGTCCAAAGGACTATTGTGCTGTGCTAATATTATTTACATATATATGATTAATTATTTACACGATGGATTAGTAGGGTTTTGTAAATTATTGTACAAATAGTTCTAAACGTAAAAAAGTTCTCATGAGATTGAGTATATACACTAAGACAATTTGGTAATGTTTCAAAGTATTCGCATACAATTTGATTAGTCAAGAGGGCAAGTTAAAAGAAGATGCTCTGGTGATTCAACATCTAAGCGGCATTCACATGTTGGATCATTGATAACATTCAGTTTGAATAGGAAACTTAAGAAATATGCATACAAGTTCCTTTTCAAACACGAGCTAATCCATAGACATTGTTACTCCCTGTAATATTCCAACAATTTCAACAAAACAAACTTATGAAAAATCACAAAAAAAAAAAAAAGTACAGTATTGTCGACTGCCCAACCATAAAGTAAAATTGAAGAAATAATCAAATATTTTACACAAATAAACACAAAGAATGTTACATTATATATAAAAATAGTATTTATCATTAATTTATTAACGTGATACTCCTGTTGAAGGACTGACAAGTCTGAAAACTTGAGAATAAAAGTTGGACAAGAAAATTAGCATTGAATGCTTTATTATATAACATTGTATTTGCTCAAGGTGGCCTGTAAGTTCAAATACCATCTTTAAAAATGTTAAAAAAAAACTAATAAATTATTTATAATATTTGTCTCTTATTAAGATATACATATGTGTGTTCAGGTTCCAATGCAAATTGCACTTAAAGAAGAATTTAAACTTCTTGATGCGAATTTGTGTGCTCGTGTTTGTGTCAAAGTGTCTCTAAAAGACTTAGATTGTGTTTGGAAGCAAATGGAGGACATTTTGAATAATTATTAAATTTAAATATACAGTAGTACCTCCCTTTAGCGGACACCTCTCTATAAAGAACAGTTTTTATTTTCAAAATTACCATTTTTGCTATTTAGTAACTCTCCGGTAAGAAGACACCTCTCCCTAAAGGATACTTTGTCTCTGTAATTAGGTGTTGTCCTTTACAGGGAATTGTAATATATTGCCTAAAATAAAATAGGTAAAGTTTTTTAATTCTAGTTTGTCTTTTAATTTTTAATAAAAAATAAATAAAAGGGTTCGAGACTTATGGGGTACAGAGAACCTCCATGATAGGACACTAGCGCTAGCGGACACCTCTCTACAAAGGACACAGTTCATTTGCAAAATTACCATTTTTACTATTTAGCAACTCTCCGGTAAGAGGACATCTCTTTTTAAAGGACACTTTGGCTCTGCAATTAGGTATTGTCCTTTCCAGGGAGGTTTTACTGTACATTGTATATTCCCTTTTTTTATCCCTAGTACACGTGGTACAGGACATGATATCATGGTGGGTAGAAGTAAGTGACTGCATTTACTGTAAGTGCACCACATGTCTACAGATGCGAAAAGCAGTTCAACTTTGCACCTACAAATGTACCAGAGCCCCGTTTGTTTACATGCACTCGCTGGTGGGGTTGGACTTTTGCAAGAATCGGGGGCCATTGGAACCTTTTTTTTATCAGAAAAAAAGTGCGCAATGTGAGAATCAAACCCGGGTCGTAGCGGTCGAAAACCAACGGTTTAGACCATCCTTCCACCGTAAGGATGGTGGTGGGGGTCACTCCATGGCGGATATTTGGTAGAAATTTGAGGAGATGCCTTGGAATGGAGACAATTCTCCCTAGAGATCTGGTTGAATAGTCTTGGGAATATAATACAGTCCATAATATTGAGTAGTTATCAATTTTTTTTTTTTCAATTTTCAAAATTCTCTCCTTATACTCCTCCTAGTGATTCCAATAATGGTGGTTTTATTCAGGTATCTCCAGCCAAATGTAAGACAGTGGTTGATGGATTCCGAACGAAGTGCAATCCCCATCTGGCCGATCATGAAGTTGTCCAGACTATGCGAGAGGCCATCTTGGAAGTATTGGAAGTCCCTAAGCCTCCCAGGTCCGCAGGACCTCGGCGCAGCAACAAGGTAGCTCCAAGAACAGGGACGGCCTCTTCCAACCCGTGAACTCCTCAGCTTAACGTGGTGTAAATAAAGTATTGAACAAAATCTCTTTATAA